AAGCTATTTCTCATTTTAGATGTGTTTTGTGTGTTCTGTCGCAGCATTCACGCTGAAAACCAATGCTGCCACTCAGTCTTTTTGCCACTCAGTGGGCGGAACCACAGTCACTCCAGCGGTAACGTCATATGCGTACCGTCTATAGTTTCTCCGAGGCGTGAATGGGATTAAATGGAGACCAAATTGAGGCATGTCTTCTGATTATCAGATTTGTCTGTCCCAGTTACAAAGGAGATCTTAATGTCTCAAAGCGAGACATAATCAAAACTGAACTGCAAATGTGTTTATTTTATACTTATTTTCAAAGATCAATTTATCACTTAAGTGAAATGCTATGAAAGAGCAACCTTTGAGCAATAAATTGATCCTCTGGGAAAATACCTACAGGACAGAAAATCTGAATTTAGATCTTGATAGTTTCTCAGAGACAGCAATGAAATTAAACTGAGACCAATTTGAAGCATTTGCTTCCCAGATTTTCTGCTTCAGAAGTGATCTTAATGTCTCAAAACGACATGTAAGCCATCAAAAATGAGAAATCTCAAGCATGTATCAAAATTTTATTTTCCAAGAACAAATGAATACTTACACGAAACATGACTGAGAACTCAATTAAGACTCCTGAGATATGAAAGAGCAACCTTTAAACAAAGAAATGTTCCTCTGGCAAAAACCTATAGGGAAAAAATCAGATGAAATCTCAAATGTTTCTCCAAGAAAGCCATTAGATTATATGTATAACAATCTGATGAATTTGCTTAAGTCACCTGTTTATCAGATATTTTTGCCAGGCAAAAGATCTTAAACCAAGATCCAAAAGTCTACAAATATCATGTCTCAAAATGTTTATTTTCCAAAAACAAATGAATGCTTATGAAACATAACTGAGAACTCCTGAGCTATGAAAGAACAACCTTTGAGAAATAAAAAATATCCTCTTGGACCTAGGGGATTACCAAAGTCTAGGTAAATGCCTACAGGAAAGAGAATTCAGAAATGCAATCTCAATTGTTTCTCCAAGCCAGCAAAGAGATTATATGGAAACCAAATTGAGACATTTGCTTAAGCTACCTGCTTATCAGAAGAGCAGAAGAGATCTGAATATTCATCAAAACAGGATGCCAAAGTGTGCAACCAAACACCATACAGTAGATCTCTGTGTGAACTCAAACATCTTTTTAAACATTAAATTCTGCAAATAATTTATTATCTTGGCTATGCAATTCACATTCATTTTATAACTCAGCAGTCCAATTTTTACGTCTTCAAAGAAATCTGAGAAACATCTGAGATTAGGTTGATAATTAATGAACACTGAAAGAGCAACTTTTAAGCAATATAGTAAAATACCCCTTTGAAACGGCTTTGAATTATGGGCCACAATGTACATTTTTCCTTTACCACAAAGCTTATCGACATTCAGACAATCACATTAGAGCTGAGGTGATTCCACAGACACAGCGCTAGCTGAATAAGTACATCTCGCAGCCCAAACTCTGGCCTGAAATATGATGACCTGGAAGCATTAGATTTCATAGGGATTTGTATCGCTGTGAGCTTGCATTAAAGATACCCTTCATACAGCTGTTCCTGGGAAAAGAAGCTGTCATGCAGATTTTTCTGCAAGCGGCTTTGAGTGGACAAACAGAAGATGCTGCCTACTCTGTGGAAAGTCTCTGTACAGGAAAAAAAGGTGCAAACCTGCAACTGTGGAAGAACAAAACTTGTTATTTTAATGAGTCTAACAGAACTGTTCCCAATTGTAGATGTATGGCTGGCATTGAGGAAAGAGTGTTTATAGTTTGAGACCTATAGTACACTCAAAAATGCCTTTGAGATCTCATTGGGTTTTATTACCGTAGGGGCAAAGACCTGACTGCATAACCAAGAACTGTGATATACTGGAGGTTGAAAAGATTGAGCACCACTTTTTTTCTGGGGCTCAAGGACTATTAAAAGTGAACATGCCATTACAAGGGTATCTGTCCTTGACTGTTAGAGACTTCAGGTAAAGAAAATACTCTGTCAGAGCCGCTAATGCTAAGCTATGAAACTTCTTACTCTACACCAAACCATTAAAACAGCATACAATTACTTTCACAATGTCTTTAATTTCCATAATGTGAGCTAGGGATCTGAATAAACATCTTACCCACTGCGGACTCCAGCAACAACCCAAAAAAACCCACTCAAAACTAGATAACAACAAGCTAAAAATACATTAGCATCATCACTGCATGTTTTTGAAAATACAGTATTATTTATTAACAAACATCA